AGAGCTTAGCCTGAATAACATCTCGTAGCCCTGCCATTTCATTATATTTGCGGAACACCCGCTTCAATGTTTCCCCGGTTCCATGAATAACTTTCGCAGCGATTGAATAAATTTCCCCATAAGGCATCAAATACCGTTTCCCATAAAGACCTGCTTATGACCCTATGATGCGTCAATGCTGATCTATGAGATCCTCCCATTATGCCAGAAGGGAAGCAATGACGAAGAAGCTGTCTGATCAACCTAACATACATAATTCGCGTCGATGCCAAGAATTGTCGCTTGGATAGGCCTATTTTACGGGATCCGGAAAAGGCGTTACCAAATGCGATTATAAGGAGGCTTTGGTAAGAAGTACGGACTGATGAAATCTGTAGCACAATTTTCGCCAACAAGTGCGAGTCATTAGCTCAACATCGTTTACTTGTAAACAAATGTTAGTCCGATGTGTTCACCTTTAAACATTTTGGCAAGATAACAACGAAAACGACATAATGACATAATGTTCGACAACAGGCTCTCCCTTTCAATTTTCGTTAGAGAAAAAGAGATAACAGGTGGTACCCCAATAACATCAACTACTTTAAGCTAGTACATATGAGTAGATAGTGTTGCCGTGAGGTACACTCGAAAATTTCAAATGTAAGTGCGTCAAATCAAATTTCGTTCCGCTCCGTCTGTCACTTCGTTTGAGATCGTACCAAACGCATAATTTACCTGTTAACGCCGAAATCATTGAAGTTTTCTGCTTGATAGGCCCAAAATGGGCCGAAGTAGTTCTCTACCCTACAAGTTTCGTCACCGTATTTTCTAAGAAGCTTTCTGTGAATCCGTCCTTTTGGGTGCTTTTTGCTTCTTGTAGGTTCTTTATTACATTTTAAAGTTTAAATGTACATATTTACTTTCCGATTCTATCGCCTTCTGCTTTAACTATTTCCCTTAGTCGCTTCGGAAAGGCATTACAAGCGCCACGCACCTGATTTTCGGGAATTTCATCCCATATCTTCTGTATAGTAGCCTTGAATTTTTCTATACCCATTGGCTTAAGATCCCGAAAATGTGCTTCCATGATTCCCCATACAGAGAAATCCAGAGGTTTTGCATCTGGCGAAGAAGCTGGCCGTAACTCCTAATGAAAGAAATCTGGCACATTTGCGGTGCACCATGCTTGGGTAATCTTTGCTCCACAGGGCAGAATCCTGCTGGAACACCCATTTGCGGCTACCGAAAGTCGTTGAAGCATGCTTCTTCAAATGGTATTCCAGAACCTCTCTTACATAGTGAGCCGCGTTGATTTTCACTTCTTTGTCAATAAAAAGCAGTGGTAGGCGACCTTCTGCAGAAATCGCTCTCCACACCATGACAGAAGTATGATTTTGGAATCGTTGAACTCCGCGACTTGAAGAAGGAATATTCTGAATCGTCGTTGCATAGACCATGTCGTTTTGAGCGTTGAAACTTTGCTGCAATACGAAGTTTTTTTCGGCAAAGCAGTTCACGACAGCGAATAATTCGGTTCTTCTTGTTAGCTTCTGAAAGTCCATGAATTCTTCTTTTCTTGTACGGCACCAATCCCAAATCGACAAGGATTTCGTCGAATTCGTTCTCGTACTACCTTCACAAGCTGTTTAGTGCGTACGCTGCGCGGACGACCAGGTTTTAACTTCGGAACGATGGTCCCCTCCGTCTTCCATCTTCTCAACGTCCGGTCTATTGATGTGCGACATATTCCTTCCTTCCTGGTCTTAGCCAATATCTAGTAAGGACGCTTACCCTCCAAATGCAACTGCAAAATCCTTTTTTCTATTGAAATCCATCTTTAACTGAGGCACTTCCTGTTAATGTAATTGTTGGTTTCAATCCGTGGGTTTTCGCCTGCAGGAGTTATTGTTGGTTGGGAAAATTCACGTTTTGTTAAACCTAAAACAGTAGACGCACACAAGAGCGAGAGCACGTTACTGAAGGAAAAAAAAACGATTATACAACATCTCGCACAAAAATGGTTGTTCGAAAACAGGGAGAATGATAATGATTGGCAAATATTGGAGAGGCCTTCTTCCAGTGGAAGATTAAGCAGAAACAAACAGGCGTCCGTGTGCAAAAGACCGGTATTTTAAAGTGCAGTGTCATTTAGTGTAACCACCCCCCCCCCCCCTTTTGTGGGGTTTCTGCGATGTTGGACTGCCTCCGTGCAGGACCACTTGTGCTTTTGTAAATCTTGTACACCTCGTACCGTACGATAAAAAAGTCTCACACGGCTCGGCTCGGAAGTCAAGATGGCTTCCGAGCCTAATCGCTAATGATCCTCGATCGTACATCAGGGACGATTCCCTCAGGCCTTAATTACCAAGGAGGGTTCCGTCTCGGCTCGACCAAGGTGGCCATGACGCGAACAGTCGATGTCGTCAACGACGGAAGACGCCTGCCAGCCAAACGAGCCAGCAACGCCTGCTGACCCGTATGTCGCTGATAAACGCCACCAGATCCACTGTTTGCAGCCCGCGCCGCAAGTTTCCGGCCACACGGTAGTGCAGGAGTAGCCGTATGGACCAACGCCAGCGTTGTAACGCCGTAGGAGATCCAGCTGCAGCAGTGAGTACAGTGCCAATTTTAATCCCTCGCACACACGCCACATATATGGAAAACCCACACCCATACGCCTCAGAAAAAGGCAATAAATGTTTTAGAAAATGTGAATGTTCCTGTGTTTTCATACTTTGTCCGCGTAGCCCTCCGAATACCCATTAACATGCCGGCCCTGCGACACAGTTAAGGGGTCTCATGCTACTGAGCTAGTTACCCGGGAGTGTTTGGTCATGCCATAGTCACAACAACCACACGTCTCCATAATTATTATCACAAGCAGAGCAGTATTAATAATGAAGCTAGTAGGGTAAAACCAGCCCAATGTCAGGATGTCATTTTCGCGTAGGCAACATGTCATATCGTGACAGCGGGTCCTGCACAGCTAAATAAATAATTGGCCTCGGAACATGCTGCCTACTATCAAACTATGTTGTTGGTATAGGCCCTGTCACTGGCCTAGGTAAAATAAGCCAAAAAGTAAAATGCCGAATGAGGTAAAATCAGAAATGTTAGTTCAAGTACTGAGCTAGCAATGCTATTAGTCAAATCCACGAATCAAGAATGGAAAAGCTGGGTGGGTTTTGGACTGGTTTTCCGCATACTGTCGACCATTAATACGCAATGTTCGCAACGCAATAACAAGCCGTAATACGTCCCTTTGGGTATACTCAGTTGTGCACGCCACATCTCACGGGTGGTTCATGTAATAAAGTAAAACCATTATTTCAACTCAAAAGTTCATACATCATTACTTTGACGCATTGTTCAGCCTCAGCAGCCACCGCTAATTTCAACCTTTATAGAATATTTAACTGATTCAGAGCTCATTAACCTTCCATACCATAAACCGATGCAGCTCTGCACTCTTGTTTTACAAAACTATGATAAACATGCCCGATGACATGTTGGTTGAGGAGCTGGCAAATAGACAACATAGCCAGCAACATCAAAACATGGCTAGACGGTACGCACCAACAACAACCAGCTCAGTAGGGATAGATTTGCGCGTCCAACCGTCCTCGCCCAGGAAGCAGAGTTGAAAATTTATAATTAATCTTAAATTGCACATATAGATGATGCACGGAACAGTTGCTTTCCCCCCGGCTCGATATCGACCATATAAATCTTTGGTGCCTCGGTTGATAATATTAGCGGTACCGGTTGGACAGTTTTTCAACTGCCCCACGAAAACGTCACCAACATGTCATATCTCTGTCCCGTCGTCGTCATCGTCTTCACCGTCTTAGTTGGTCGTGCCATGCAACATATGCGTGATGTGCTGCCACCGCTGCTGCTGCTGCATGACGGTTTACGATGCGTAATATTTAATTAAATCCAAAAACGATCCATCTCCAACAAACGTACGCGTTTTGCGATTTCGCTAAACCACCATCACACTCTCCAGCCCAGGGACAACCTTTCCGAAAAATTTAACATCAACTCATCGTCATCTTCGGGAGATGAGATGTGAGGTGGCTTTTGTGACATCAAAAATTTATGCTAGCATCTGTCAAAACATCAGATGCGTTTTCGTATCAAACAAAATCCGGGGGAGAAAAAACGCCGCAAAACCAAAAAGAATACCGTAGCGAATGATAATTTTATGAACTTCATTAATTTTGCTTTTTCAGGGCAATAAAAATCTTGTGGTAGATTTAATATCTGCTGCATTGGTGCACTTTTCTCATATTTTTAGTTTTCGGTTTCACCGATACACTCTCGGTTTGAATGCTGTCGCTTCCTGAAATCCGGTCCCCTCCTCTTACGGCCGCGGTCCGTTGACACCGACATCCAGACGAACTGACAAGATATCCTCTTTCTGCTGTGGCTGCACCATGGGCGATCGACGATGACGCAGAGGGAAAAACGCAAAAGCAAACCAAGGAAAACCCTTCCCCCAATTTTTCATTTCGAGCGAAAAGTAAAACCGTTGGAAACAAAAGGCATAGAGTTTCAAATTTACGATCCCCATCATATTAACTTCAGACCTCGAAGACTTCTTCCTGATCTGCTGCTGAGATTTGTTTCCGAATGGTGGCGTGAGGTGGTGCACATGTGCGTTGTTTTTTGTCTTGTTGTCTTACAGCGATGGCCTTTGGTACCGATCACCCTTGAAAGAACCAACCTGACGAATGACGACCGGTTCGAGCGGATCGTTCCGACCGACCGGTAGTGGTTGATGAGAACAAATTTATTCTAATTGTGCAGCATTCAGCTTGGGGACACTACGAACAACATATTGGAATTTGAGCTTGACACGCAGATTGAGTTGTTTGTTTCCCCCTTCCCAGGAATCACACGACCCCGACAAACGTTGTTCAAAACATGAGGAATGTGATGTTAAATGTTTCATATGAGTATTACGATAGTATTAACGTGTATTAACAATAGTTTTTTATTTTCTCAATTCACAGGAAACAAGCCACTCGTGAAGGAAACGGTTCCTATGAACTCAAAATTGCTAGTCAAGTGCAATTACGAGGCACCGTCATGGTACAAAAATGGCAAACCAATTACGAGCGATAGCAAACGAGCGAAATCGTAAGTATTTTCCATACCATTTTAAATCAACAATCGAAATGTCATACTTTCTTGGTTTTCCTAGGCTCTATGCTTACGATCATAATCGTTAAGGGAAGTAATTCATAGAAAAGTTCAAATCTGTTTTAGTCCTCCAAAAACATATTTGGTCTAAATTTACGTTTTCTAAGGAGGTATTGAACCAGTTGACCAAAGGTCCGTGATATAAGTTGCATGAATCCCATACTTTTTTTTATGTGTATTTTAAGGATGTGGAGTTTGTGAAAAATATCCCGACTCTGACTCCGACTTCAACTCCAGGACGGTATATGTATGAAGTATCGAGTTCTTCAACTTACAAAATTTTACAAAGATCAATGGACTGAACAAGGAACATTTTCTATCGGTTAGTTCAAATGATAGAGTTAAATAACATCAAGATTTAACACACTCAATTTGTATGTATCGATATCCATTTTTATGATTCTGAAGTATTTTTTGTTTGATCTGAAATAAATTTAAATAGCTACTACTACTTAGCCCTTTCAAAAAATGATGATAACTGCGACGTTGAAAAATCAATTGATTTTTTTTTTTAGATTAAAAGACATTTTAATTTGTAGAATTACTAAATTCTTAGACAAGAAGAAGAATTTACAGTTGGAAAAATTTAGGAGATCATAGACTTGGACATACTTTCAAGATCAAGAACTATCTAAGGAAACGTCAAACTAAGGATTGCGATATTCTAAATTTGAAAAACAAAGCAATAATGAAAATCACGGAGCTTTTTAAAAAAGCAATTGAAGCAAGTAAGATTTTGTAACTAGGAATTCTTTGAAATTCGTGGACTTTTTTTCTCAATTATGTACTGAACAAATGTTTGTTCTCTACACTAATAGAATTCCACACATTTTTATTGGCGAATTTCCATGTAAAAATCCACATGATTTTTATGTGACCACACATAAACAGAATCCATCCAGAAGCACACATGAAATTTATGAGTCTAATGAATAGTATGTGTGGTTACACATGGCTTTTATGTGTACACATATTAAGTATGTGTCCGACACATAGATATCATTTGTTGATCACATTGCAAAAATTCATGTGTGGGACACATAAAAAAATCTTTGAATTTTTATCAGTGTAGAACAATGCATAATTTTCGATTTCATTATTTCGACTTTTTGAATTTATAGCACGCAGCTATAGAGCACAACCATGATGGAAACGGCTAAGTTCGATTCCCTGTTCGGTCTAGGAGTTTTACGGGTTGCAAAAATTATCAACTTCCTTGGGCATAGAGTATGATTGTACCATAGAGGTAACTCCATAGGCGTAGCCAGAGGGAGGCAGGGGAGGGAAACTGCCCCCCCCCTAAACTCAGTAACACAAAGGCTGTCGGTGAAATGGCGTTTGGTGAAATGGCGTTTGGTTAAATGGCGTTTGGTGAAATGGCATTCGGCCAAATTTTCCATAGTAATTTTTTTTTCGCCCCTCCCTAGCTCGTAACCTGGCTACGCCCTTGGGTAACTCTAAGACCAGAAGGTCCCGAAGAAACGTGCTCAAAATTTTGGCTCCCCAACTAACATTTTCAGCTTTATAAGCCAACTTTTCCAGCATTGTGCTGTAAAGTAGCTGAAACAAAGCTGCAGATTCAGCTACAAGCAGAAGCTAGCCAAATAGTTTTGGAGTGCGTTTACTCAACTTTTTCACAACCATTATTCAATTTGTCAGTCGCACTGAATAACATCAGCCAATAATCGCTAATGTCTCTTCTATGCAAATATGAATCAACTTTCAACTTTTAGCTGCAAAACAAAACTAATAAAGCGAATATATTACTTATTTGATGGCTTCTATACAACCAACCACTCTTGCTGAATAACATAAACATCACAAGTGATTTTTCAACAACTAAACAACCGGTACTCAACTAATAAACTGAGCTAGCACTACTTTGGAAGCTATTTTACAGTCACCTAGGTTTATTTTTAGACCTGTGCAGTTTTACAGCTTTTACTCCGCTCCTTTACAAAGCTGAACTAACTTGTTGAGAAAAGTGATTTATGTGCACTACTATAAAGCCTCTACTTAGCCATCTTGTTGTAGAAAGTCATGTAGATGTGTTTACGTCAGCTCAAAATTTTGGCGTAGCAAAGTTGATAGTGTCAAGGTTTGCCAATGCGGTTGTCTCGAGTCCGATTCCAGGTTTCGGTGCAGGGTAATAATTTGATGGTGTGTGTGCTTATAACTAGTTTCAAGTAATTTGATTCGCAGTAAAATTAATTCAATAAATTCCCCCATCATATAAAAACAATATTTAACCCGGCTTCAAGATCAAGCTGTGTTGTGATTATTGGATAATCGGGTAAAGGTTGAGCAAGCGCCTTTCAAGTCCACACACAACTAAACAACAGAATAACAGCTGTATAGAAGCGTAAATGGATATGGAATAAGAGCTTGCCACTACCGTCCCAACAGTCATAAGTAGCTGACTAAGTTCGCCAGATTTGCTTGTGTAGAGGTTGAGTAAAGGTTTCCTCATATCGTATAACATTTGAATTCAGCTTGAGGCTGTATAAATGAAATGAGTAAAGCGTTTACATTGCGAAAATTGTTAGTTGGGTCAGCTCTGGTACTATGTTAATATGTACTTATAGATGTACTTGGGATGGGACCAATAGGCTAGTCAAGTAGTGAGGCAATTTAAAATCGTTAGTTTCCACCGGTTGATTGTACTTTCCACACAATTCTACTAATGCAAAAAAAAACTCAATTAACAACTGTGGAAGTGCTCAAGTCAATGACCACTAAGTTGAGGGCGTGTGTAAAGTCCCAATAGAGACGTATTAATGCCAAAGAAGAAGGAGACAGCCCAACAAATAATTTGTTCTAATTATAAACTGATTTTTAAGCTGAAGAGCATATATTTGCTTCCTTATTAGAGAGTTGTATAGATTTTTCTGCTTTACTTTACTTAAATCTTTTGTTATTATTAGTAGGTAGGTTCCGACTCTACACATTGTATATTCATTTTTACCTAGGAGATGAGTACTTAAGGGAGTTAGATTTTGATAAGTGTTTAATGGGAATAACACTGATGAAGACTGAATATTGTAGTCGAAATACCTGGATACCAAAATTAATTAAGTGGAATTAAATGGAAGGTTACCCTGTTTTGCTGTTTTATACTGAATATGCTGTTATTCTGCTTCCAATGTTTGTTGCCTCTCTGAAGACACCTGAGCGATCTTGTCGTCGATGACGATTTTCACTTTTTGTCTTCACTTTTTAGTTATCCTTCAAGCACAATCAAAAGTTCGAAAAGTTCATCGTCTTGCTTCAACCTATCTAACTATTTAAGATCACGAATGAGGTCGAAATCTCGTCTGAAGCCCATAGATTTCAAGCCGAGCCATGGATTAGGCCCTAAGTAACAATGACAGATTCTCTTTGCATTACCACGGTCATGTATAGACATTTACAACTGTTTTCAACACAGAGTTCGATAATAGAAGCTATTATCTAGCCTCTATAGGGTGTCCCAGAATGTCTAAGTGCGACTTTGGAACACCCCTGCTTGTTTCAGATGACGTTTAAACAGCTGATTATTACGCTGAATCATTGTTTACATTTCGGTTATTTACATTTCCGTGACAAAGTGGCATCCTCGAAGAGTAACGTGTCCCGGCCCATGTGTGTTGTGAATGGGTGCGATATCCAACGCAGGTGTGGAAGCTGCCTTCCTGCACATTCGATTGCCGTCAATGGATGGCAATCGATGTCCGTCGGTGATTGGCACTAGATTGCGGAACAGAGACCGACGTTAAATAAAGGAAAGAAGAAGAAGAAGAAGAAGAAGAAGAAGAAGAAGAGTAACGTCCAGCGGGCCAAGGCAAGAATGGGTCAAAAGACGTGTAAGAAGCATAAGAAGCCAAAGCGGAGTGAAAAACAAGCCGCATCCATCAAACCGAGGGCTCGGAAGTTATACGACCAATTGCTGTGCGGAAATGCGCGTGTGCGTGATTATGAATGAAGAATCATACATTAAATTTGATTACAAAACTCTTCCTGGTGATCAGTACTACACCGTTCGTGATGGCCGAAGTGTTGTTGGATAAGTCGATGTTTACCGAAAAATTCAGTAAAAAGGCTATGGTTTGGTAAGCCATTAGTGAATGTGATATGCTTTTTAAACCGTTTGTGACAACGGCGACAATGACATCCGATTTTTACGTGCGTGAGTGTTCAAACAAGCGTCTGTTACCCATGATCCGCAAACATGACGCTTCAGTACGGTTTTGGCCTGATTTGGCGTCGGTTCATTACTCCAAGGACACGGTAGCCTGGTATAAAGCCAACAAGGTCCAATTCGTACCGAAGGAGATGAATCCGCCAAAATGTCTCCAGGCCAGGCCAATTCCGTTACAAAGTTTGCGAAACACTAGGAAAAAAGTATCCAAACAAAGCTACACGGATAGAAATCTCCTCATACCTTTTGGCAAATTTCTATTGCTGATTATTCATAAAATGTATAAGTCAACTAATAAGCAGACGCCTTGCAAAAAGTAAATGAAGATCATGTGTCAAATGAAATGTATAAGCGGTCACACATACCTTTTATGCATTCTTATAGGACCTATGTGGTTTGTCTTATGGAATGTATAAGGCTGATGTTTTGGCAAAAATGTAGAAGTGAAACACATGAATAAAATAATTGATTTTCGTTTCGTGTACGTTATCGTTTTTTTAAAATCGTGCTTAGACATTCTGGGACACCCTATAATATGGGCAAACAAGGCAAGAAACATTTTTGTAGCAACGTTAGGATTGATGCATATATTATGTAACGCTCTAAGGGGGGAGGGGATGTAAGATTTTGTGAAAAGCAATGTAAATATTAGATATAGAATTAAAATGGGTTAATTTTTCCACAATTTAGCGTGACATAATTAAGGTATGGCACCGTTTATTAACGAACGAGAAAGTCGATGAAGAGAATCGATCAATTT